AGCTCCTTGCTAAGGTGCCTGGGGAAGCACTGGAAGATGGCCGAAGTGCTTGGGTCCCTGACACCCCAGTTGGAACCCGGATGGAGTTACAGGCGTCTGGCTCCAGCCTGGTCCAGTCCCAGCCATTCGGGGAATAAACCAGTGGCTAGAAGATCTCTCTCCCCTCCTTCTTTCTCTCTAACTCTGCCTTTCAAATAAATAAAATAAATCTATTTAAAAAATTAAAAATATGCATCTCCTGTAAATGCATGTATCTGTGTGTGCATGTGTGAAGTATGCCTTATTCTTTTTTAATAACTTATATGCTTTGTTATAAAAAATTAATAACTATTTGAGTTGTTTCCATTTTCTTTCTGTTACAAACAATGCTGTAATGAGCATTCTTATAAAATATGTATCTTGGGCAATTGCACAACTCTTTAAGAAAAATTAATTCCTTTGAGTAGAATTTCTGACTTAATGGCATAAGCATTTTCTCTTTTAATAGAGTAATTGGCCTCCAAATAAGTTGTTCCAATTTACAGATTCATCCACAATATATGGCAGTGGTTGGTTTCCTGACACAGCTCTTCTGATTGTCAATCTTTATGTTTTTATAGAAACAATCTTCTTTTAAAATTACTTAATATTTTTTTTTATTCTGAAGGCAAAGAGCCAGAGAGAAATAAAATCAGGGATAGCCCCTCTCTGCTGGTTCACACAACACATGCCCACAGCAGGCTGGCTGGGGCTTGGGTGCTGGCCCAGGCCAAACCTGAGGCCGAGAACTCAGTCTAGGTTTCCCAGATGGCAGAGACCCAAGGACGTGGGCCATCACTGCTCCTCCCAGGGCCTGCGTCAGCAGGAAGCTGGGGTCAGGAACTGGAGCTGGAACCCAGGGAGTCCAATGTGGGGGGCGAGTGACTTCACCAGGTCTTCACTGGGGTCAGTCTTTCTCAAATGTAGGAACTTGAAAGTGAAAGTGGTACCATTATTAACTGAATTTGTGATTATTTACTTACTGAAATTGAGTGTCATTGGCCATGTGTAATTCCTTTTCTGTGAACTACCTCTTTGCGTTTTACTAATTTTTCTAAAATATCAATCAGCTTTTCTTTCTTGGTTTGTGAGAGATTTCTGAAGGCTAGAGAAAGTTAGCCATTTACCTATCATATAAAAAATGTTATAAAATACGGCAATATTTGTGGCTTTGAGTTTCATCTGGGATAACGTTGGCATGTAAACGTATGTGTTTTCTTTTTATAAATTAGAAGATTTTATTTTTAAAATTATGCTTTTATCTTTTTGTAATCATGAGAAAGGAATTCTCTTCCACAATATTATAAATTCATTTAACAGTGTTTCCTTCTCATACTTCTATGGTTTGTTTCACTGTGTGATTTTTAACTTCATTGTTTTTAAATTCATCCACCTAAATGCTAGTGTAAACAGGAAGGCGTGGACTCCGCTTTATGCTTCTCCCTCAGTGGCTAGTCATTATTCCTAACACCGTTCATTTCCTGGCCTACCTTTCCCACTGATTTGGAACGCAGCTTTAGATGGACTGCAGACACTTTAGGATGTCATCTGTCTCCTTATTCCCAGAAGCCACCACAATACCACAATATCCCTTATGAAATAGACCTGTAAGTCATGGTCAGTAAGAAAATGAGTCAGGGGTGAAACAAGCCCGAGTTCGCTTTATCTCACTTGGGTTTCGTAACAAGAGTCAGCTGGTGGAATAAATCCCCATCTTAGTTTAGATGTCCTCTCAGTTGGGTGCAGGCAGTTTTCTTTTTTTCTTTTTTCTTTTTTTTGACAGGCAGAGTGGACAGTGAGAGAGAGAGACAGAGAGAAAGGTCTTCCTTTGCCCTTGGTTCACCCTCCAATGGCCCCGTGGCAGGCGTGCTGCTGCCAGCGCACCGCACTGATCTGAAGCCAGGAGCCAGGTGCTTTTCCTGGTCTCCCATGGGGTGCAGGGCCCAAGCACCTGGGCCATCCTCCACTGCACTCCCTGGCCACAGCAGAGAGCTGGCCTGGAAGAGGGGCAACCAGGACAGAATCCGGCGCCCCGACCGGGACTAGAACCCGGTGTGCCGGCGCCGCAAAGCAGAGGATTAGCCTAGTGAGCCGCGGCACCGGCTGGTAGTTTTCTTTACACTTGATCTTAGCCTAAAGGCTGAGAAGCCATGCGGGGAAGTTTTTTGTTTGTTTGTTTGTTTTCTTAAGGATTCAATCCTGAAGAGAATAGTAATGTACAGGAAAGCAAGATGGAGCAGGGGAACTTCCCAGGTTGTGCCGACGCATTGGGGTAACCTAGGCTTCATACACTTGGGACCTTTTGAGAATCCTGTATGTGAGCTCTGAACTGCCTCTTTGCAACGCACAGAAGCTAGGGCAAAAATCCACTATTCCGGTCCGAGGATTGTCCCCAAGCGTATTAACTCATGCTTCACTGCCAGGAAGTACCTGTGTGCAGTCAAGCAAGAGCGAGCGCAGGGAAGCACATGGACACCGGCACTGAAGTGGGGGCTGTCGGTGGGCTGGTAGACCCAGATGTGGGCAGAGGGCACAAATTTAGGGAAGCTCACCAGCAAAGCTGAGATGGAATAAGAGATATCTGCATGATCTTTATGAACAATGCGGAATGTTTTCTGCTCCCTTTGAGACAGTTAAGATCTAAGGATATAAACACTTCTTGATTCAGTGTCATACTGTACCAAAAATTCCTCCAAAAGAAAACTGTGTTCTTCTAATGCTCTATGTTATTATCAATGATAAGTCACTTCCATCGTAAAACATACGTTTGTTCAGAGACAGGAAATTATAAACTTTGTATTATTATGAAGATGTCGTCCCATATAGTTTCCCAGTCATCAGTATCCAACGTGGTTCACGTTCAGAAGAGCATCAGAGTAATTCGAGGATATTTTTGGGCTTCACTGTACAAGCAGCAGACCTCACAGATGGCCTTTCTCAGTGTCCATTTGCACAGAACTCCCCACCAGTCTCTACAGAGCTTCATGGAATGGGGGGTGCACAGTCCAACAACACTTCCTACTACTTAGTGATCAGAAATGCTTGTTAGTACAGAATTTGCCATATATTTGTTCAAAGGTGCACATTGAAGTAGTTTATCTGAAAAAACAGGGGGTTTTGATACAGATGTTGAAGGAGATCTTGAACAATGGACCAGTGCACAAAGATGCTGTACAGAAGTCGGTCTCTCTGGCATCAATCACTTCACAGGAGACCGCTATGGTCCCAAGTACACCCAACAGCTTGATAAGCCTTGATGATATGAGTGTACATGAATTAACATGTCTACTTTCTGTTTTTCACAAACTAGGGAAAATAACTTTTACAGTCTGTAGTCTTATGTCTCTGGCTTCTTGGGGATTTGATCATAATATCAACTTTCCTAAATATCAGCATTTGGCTTTGCACCATGTATTCATAAAAGAAACTTTGGGCAGACTGTAGTGAATTTTGTGTTAATACAGTAATATGTATGTAAAATCCTACTTCCTTGAATTTAGGTTGTTAAGCTCAAAGTAGAGGTACCAGTTGTCATGTGTAGTATTTTTAATCCTTTCATGCCCTACATCTGGGCATTTAAGGCTGGGCTTACTCCATGATGCCTTTTTTTTTTTTTTTTTTGCCTGAAATAGTACTAAGAGGAACCACAAGATGGTAGCCTCAAGGAAACCGTGAGATTTGAAGTGCTTACTTTTTTGACCGGTTTCCGATAAAATGGTTTAATACTAAAAGAAAACAAAGATGATGTTTAAAGATTTTAAAATACACGGCATTCCTGGGCTGGTAGCAGAGCCAGCCCGGCGTGAATCAGAAGGCTGCAGATGGCTGTCGTGCTACGGGGCACGTGCAGAGTGCTACGCTTTGCCCTTTGCACTCTGTTTCCTCTCCCTTGACAGCTTCTGTTTGTCCATTAAGACTAGCTCAGGTGTTACCTTCTGTGTTAGTTTCCTGTGACCGGTGTCACAGATTACTGCAAACGTCTTGGCTTCAAGACAACATAAATGTATTATCTAACAGTTCTGGAGGACCCCGCTGGCTAAAGTCAAGAAGTCAGGATGGCTGCGTTCCTTCTAAAGGCCCTGGGAGGGAACCCGTTTCCTGGCCTTTCCACCTGCTACAGGCTGCTCCCGTGCCTTGGCTCAGGTTCAAAGCCATAGGTGCAGCATCTTCCCTGCTCTCTGACCCTAACTCGACTGCCTTCCTCTTGTAAGGATCTCTGTGGTTACACTGGGCCCACCAGGATTTTTCAGTATAATTTTCCCATCCCGAGATCCATAAGTCACTCACATCTCCAGTGCTCCCTTTGCCATGTACAGAAACAGTCCCAAGTTTGAGACCTTAGGATACGGACTTGTATATCCTGGAGGACATGATTCATTCCTCTTACTGTTCTCACTCTAAATCGTTCCTGACCCCTTCAGTTACCTTTCTCTGGATCCTGCACTCATCGGTGGGTATCTCTGGATGTAACCTTTTGGAACGGCTTTGAAATTTTCAGTTAATCTTCCTGCTTTAAGTATGAGATTCCTGATCATAAAGCTATTTCGTCTTTGCAGCCAGACAGGCTGAATCTGGACCCAGAATTGCCTTGGTTTCATCCTTTGTAAAAGAGGATACACGGCATTCTGATGGGCGAGACAACAAATGGTGGAGCCAAACTCCAGCTGCTGATCCCTACTCTGCTACGTAATAGTGTGGCAGGCGTTCGGTACAGCACACAAGACACCCCTGGGGAAGCCCTCATCCCGTATTAGAGTGCCTGGATTCAAGTCCTTGCTCAGATCCTGATACCAGTCTCCTGCTGGGAGGCAGTAGCTGATGGTTCAAGTACTTGGGTCCCTGCCACCATGTGGAGGACCTGGATGGAGTTCCTGGCTCCTGGCTTTGATCCAGCCTATCCCTGAATATTATGGAAGTATGGGGAGGGAACCAGCAGTTTGGGGAATCTCTTTGTTTGTCTCTCTGCCTTTCAAATAGAATTAAATACCATTTGTTAGTGAGAAGCTACCCCAATTCCTCAGTTTCTTTAGCTGTTACATAGAAATAATTACAGCATTTACCATGCATGGTTATTGTATTAGTGAGTATATGGAAATGGCTTAGAACAACTAAAAACTGTTCATTCTTGTAATTTTCCACTCAGGAAATTATTGTAATGATTAAAGAAACAGTAGGCAAATCCATAGCACAATGCCTGGCACACAGTACATTAACAATATGTTCTGGCTTTTGATTTATCATCTATATTAAACACAGCAGGTCAAAAAAAAGGCAAATGGAATGAGTAAAATATTGTGTTTTAAAGGTGGGAATTTAGTGAAACATACTCAACTTTGTGTTAGTAGTTGGCATTACTTCAGGATATCTTATTATCAAGCCCAATATAGTAGTAGGGTCAAAAATATAAAAGGTCAATAGTGGTATGATTGATAGATTTTATTAGTTTCAGTGATGACAATAATAGTGGTAACAACTTCAAGCTTTGGAATGTTATAAAATGTTTTCAAACATAGTACCTCATCAGGACTTCATGTTAACTCCAGGTGCTAGCTAGCGATCTAATTGCTATTTAAGATTCCCAGATTGTTATCAGCTCTGCTACATACAGCGATTTAGTCCTTTACCTCATAGGGTCTTCAAAACGTTGCTCCTTTGTGAGGCAAATTGGCTGTCCTCCCCCACGAAATGAGTACAGTAAGTAGAATCGGGACTTGTGGAATCATCTTCCTCTCTCATAAGTGAAGCAACATCAGAGTGGGACAGCATCTCAGCTGTTCCAAGTTCCTCAAATGAGTTTTACTTTTGCAAAACCAACCCTGCACTTCCTATATTCTGTGAGCTGCGTTATGAGCACCATGACCGGCAGCCACGCTTGTTGTAATTTTTTAAATATGTGGAAAAAGAGCAAGATATCGACCATGTATTACCTTAACCAAGATGCCAAATTATCTAACTTGTTTCTCCAGGCAAGCAGCCCAACCACAGGGACAGCTCCCAGAAGCCAGTCGAGGTTGTCTGTCTGTCCGTCTACTCAGGACATCTGCAGGTAAGTGCTGAGTGACTAACTCTATTCAGTTCATTGGAGACCAGCCTTTTGCATTTGTGTTTTATATGCCAAGAGTGTGTGGCCCTAGCTTCTGCCTTACATTTATATGGGCTTATTTTTTCCAAACCTTTTGTTCATTGTCTTCAGTTGATCTTTATTTGCCAACCTCTGGTCATGCTGTCATTTTCATCATTCTCTCTCTCTCTCTCTGTTTCTCCATGGCTTTCTCTCCATCCCCATGCCCCATCCTTTGCCTGCTGCTTGTCCAGATCTGCCATCTTGCATGACATGTCTGAAGATGCATTTGAGCACTGCACCCCTGTCATGGTGCTGAGCCCTGCTAGGAAGGAGTCTGGTAGGGAATCAGTCAAACAGAAGCCTAGGAGGAGAAGGAGAGCCTCTGAGAGATACGAGCATGCAGAAGAACACAGAAGAGGGAGAAGAAGTGATTTTAACCTGCAGATCTCAAGCCCCAGGTGGAGGGAGCTTTACACCGATGCGACGGATTCTTCTTCCAGCGATGAGAGTCACTGGATGCAGGCAAAAAGGAGAGCCCAGGTGAAGTTCCGACTGTCACGAAGAAGGAGGCGAACCAGTAACAAACCATGTGGAAACCTGGATGCCTCATCCTCTCCTCATCAAGTGGAGCTGGTTGACTTGGGATCCAAAAGTAAAAGACAACCAGAGCTGAGAGAATGCGAGAACTGCTCTTTAAATCTCCGGAGAGGCAAAGTTGTCAGGTACCAGGAATGCGGTCGTGCCCTGGCCGGGGGACCCTGTGAGATGAAGAGATCCTCACAGACCCACGAAGAGAGCAAAGGGAGATCCCTCCACAGAGACCTGCGGCTCTTGCCTGGTCTTAGGCGAAACGAAACAACCAAGAAAAGATGTCCAGAAACAGAGCCTAGTGCTGAAATACTGGCAGTGGCAGAAGGTGGCAAGTGTGTGGGTGACAGAGGGCTCCCGGTGCACCACTCTCTTCACAAGCCTCCTGCGACCGGTGATGATGGGGCTGGTAATTTAGAAGTGTGCAGGTCAGTCACTGTAGAGAAAGCCCCGTGTCCTCCTCTGAGTCAGGTGTGCGTGTGTCACCTACCCTCAACATGTCGCACTTATTCATGCTGCTGTTTGTCTGATTGGGTATGAGTGAGACGATGAGAAAAGGGGGCTACGAGAAGAACCGTGTGGAAGTATCGGTGGTTAGATTTCCCCTTCTCATCCTTTTCGCTGAGTAGTGATTCATCCCAGTATAAGGACTGGGAAGCTGGTTGAGTCTTGTACCCATTCTGGGGAAGACAGTAATAGCGGAGGAAATATTGTGCAACTGTGTGAAGCCTTCGACTGTGCAATGCAAATATGGTGAACTGTTAGTAACATCCTGACAGAGAGGGATTCAGGGCTTGGCTTCCTTAAGGTCAGATTTTTTTTGTGTCAGAAAAATGTCCTCTGGAGATGCCTCTAATTTGTTCTGCAGGTGTCTGACTCAGCAGGGTAATTTGGGACTGAGGGGACACAGACACAGGTCACGGACTTATCAGTGGGGTTGCTAAAGTCTTCGGGGAAGGAGACCACATTAACTTCCCTGATGATCACAGCCTGGAAAGACTCAACATGTAGCTGTTTTCATAGCTCTGGGGCTTCTGTCTGGCAGTTTTGACCCAACCCCATACATTTTCAGGTCAACTTCCTGATAAAAGTCACTATAGAAAAATCCATAATAGTCTGCATAAATGAAACAATTTTAAACACTTTTACATTTTAATAGTAAAGCCTATCATTTTAGTTGGTTTGGACCCTAGTTGGAGGCACATGGAGATGTTTTCTGCAATTCTTGGTTGGTTTGGTTTGTGTATAACAGTTGAAGCTGCTCTATAAAACATATGTGAATGTTTCATGTGAGACATCCGACTCGAAGAATGTGGTCCATGTCTGTTTATATTTGTTTCTCCAAAAGTTATATAAAGAATTATAAGGTAATCATTCACAAAATGCTCACTAACTTATTCATTCAAGCATCTACCATGTACTAGAACTCATGCTAGATATTGAAAACATCATAGTATATAAAAATTGGATAGTTGTGACATCTTGGAGTTTATCATCTCATGGACAGCACAAAGAACAATTTTTTCACAGTTAAAATATAATTACAATCGTAAGCATACATTCCCACAAGAACGAGGAAGCTTGCCCTATCTGGCAGGTCAGAGAGAGCTCTCAAAGGCAGACTAGGGATCAAAGGATGGTAGGAATCGCTCAAGGGAAGAAGCAGGGAAAACTGTCCAGGTAGAGGGGTCCCTAGCGGGAAGCCAGGAAAGGAGAAGGCGCTTGGCAAACCACAGAGCTGAGACCTTGCTCCTGTGGCCAGGGTGTCCCGAGGGTGGAGGAGGGGCAGAGAAGGTCCAGCCATGCGTGCGTGAGATGGAAAGGCGACTCGAAAGGGAAGTGCTCCATCTGGTCTGTAGATGAATGTCGGTCTCTCATAATCTCTTGAAGATGATTTATCTGTGGCTCTGCTGAAAACTTAGGGCATAGACAGAGAACAACCCATTTGTAACTATTGGTCCTTATTCCCTGACTCTCTGTTTCCAATGGAATTTGATAAAAGACCATCAAAGAAGATAGCTTTCGCCTTACGGTGACTGGAGAAGAAAGCAATGCTTGCAGATGAACTCACAGAGCCTGATTCTCCCAACTTGCAAGAGCGGAAGAGCAGCTCTGGAGAAGCAGTTTCGAACACGTGATATTTAACAGGCTTCTCTCAGTGAAAGTGAGAGCCTTTGGCCCATCAGTGTCGTTTGCTGCTGTAAATTATCATAAAAATGTACTGACTGAGGGCATGCTATGGCAGCACAGTAGACTAGATCCTGGGGGTAAAAGTAGCTAAAGACTTATTTTTTGTATTTTAAAATTATTTTTAGGCCAGTGCTGCGGCTCACTAGGCTGATCCTCCACCTTGCGGCGCCGGCACACCGGGTTCTAGTCCCGGTTAAGGCGCCGGATTCTGTCCCGGTTGCCCCTCTTCCAGGCCAGCTCTCTGCTGTGGCCCAGGAGTGCAGTGGAGGATGGCCCAAGTGCTTGGGCCCTGCACCCCATGGGAGACCAGGAGAAGCACCTGGTTCCTGCCATCGGATCAGCGCAGTGCGCCAGCCACAGCGCACCAGCCGCGGCAGCCACTGGAGGGTGAACCAACGGCAAAGGAAGACCTTTCTCTCTGTCTGTCTCTCTCACTGTCCACTCTGCATGTCAAAAAATAAAAAAAAAAAATTTATTATTTTTTATATGGCCTGTTAGCTAAGTGGGAAGGATTAGACATACCTACACCTGGAAAGACAAAAGTTAAAGTAGTACAGGGTGAATTAAGAAGGGAAATACTACAGAAGTGTGAAGGAGGAGCAGTTCCTGAACATTAGGTAATCCAGAAATCCCTTAAGAAGAGGTGGAACTGGGGCTGATAAAAGTAAAATGTATTTTTTAAAAATTTATGTATTTATTTATTTATTTGAAAGGCAGAGTTAGAGAGGGAGGGAGAGGTAGAGAGAGTAAGACAGAGAGATCTTCCATCTGCTGGTTCACTCCCCAAATAGCCACAACAGCCAGGGCTGGGCCAGGTAGAAGCCAGGAACCAGGAGCTTCATCCGGGTCTTCCACAAGGATGCAGGGGCCTGAAGACTTGGACCATCTTCTGCTGCTTTCCTAGGCTGTTATCAGGGAGCCGAATTGGAAGTGGAGCAGCTGGGACTTGAACCCAAGCCATATGGGATACCGGTGCTGTAGGTGGCAGCTTTACCCACTGTGCCACAGCACTGGCCCCAAGAAAAGTAACATTTAGATTGACAGAGATGCCTGAATGGCTCTCTAGTCATAAGGTGGGGGAAACACCTGTTAGCCCAGACAGGGATGAGGGACCAATGCTGTGCATTCAAGAACATCTTGTGAACTTGTAGGAGGACTAGGTTGAAAGATTTGCATAGATTTGTAACAGCTGAAAATTTTAAAAAGACTTTTTGTTGTTTGTTTATTTATTTGAGAGGCAAAGAGAGGTATCTTTCATCTGCTGTTTCACTCCCAAATGCTTCCACGGTCAGGGCCAGAGCCAGGAGCCAGGAATTCAATCCAGGTGTCCGTGTGAATTGCATGGATCCAACTTCTTGAGCCATTGGTACTTGCTACAGCCTAAGGTCCGCATTATCAGAAGGCTGGAGTTAGGAGGGAGGGCCAGGAATTGAACCTCAGGCAATCCAAGGTGAGAGGCAAGTGTCTTCAGTGGTAAGTTAAATGTCCACTCCCTAAAAAGACCTGTTGAATAATACATCATATGATACCAAGCAGTTGTGTCCCTGCCATCCATGTGGGAGACGTGAACGAAGGTCCTCGTTCTCGACTGACCTGGCCCAGCCCAGGCTGTTGCAGGCTTTTGGGAGTGAACCCTAGGACTGATGGTCTCTCTGGCACTCTCTGTTGCTCCCCTTTCCTTTCTTTTTTTAAAGGATTTATTTATTTATTTATTTATTTATTTATTTATTTGAAAGGCAGAGTTACAGAGAGGCAGAGGCAGGGAGAGAGGGAGAGAGAGAGTTCCATCTGCTGGTTGACTCTCCAGTTGGCAGCAATGGCTGGAGCAGAGCCAATCCAAAGCCAGGAGCCAGGAGTTTCTTCTGGGTCTCCCACGCACATGCAGGGGCCCAAGAAGTTAGGCCATCTTCTGCTGCTTTCCCAGGCCACAGCAGAGAGCTGGATGGGAAGTGGAGCAGCTGGGACTAGAATCAGCACCCATATGGGATGCCGGCACTGCACGTTGTGGCTCTACACGCTACACCACCACACCAGCGCCAACAAGTATTCTTTTAAGAAAAAAAGGAAAAGAGGAAAAAAATACAGAAAACAGGCTTGAAGGAGAGTCCCCATATAAGAGCAGTCAACAGTGTCCCTCAGGGTAGGTAGGGCGAGAAACCTAGGTTTGGGAGGAGCTGTGGGTGAATGTACCCTGTTGCGCATTAGACAGGACAGGAGGATGAGAAGAGTGAGGGAAGGGAGGAACAAATGTCACGTTGGCATTCCAGCAGGTGAACGGGAAGGGTCTTGGTGCTTGGATTTGGTGAGAGTATGAGACACATTAACCTTGGGACACGAAGGCTGAGAATGCGGATGTTACTGACAAATGCAGAGCAGGTCAAAGGACTTGAGGAAGACATGATGCGTCCAGGCAGGCGATTTGTGGTGGCAGTGACCTTCCAGGGTCAGCTGTCCAGCAGACCTGTTGTTGAAGCCCAGGAGAGCAGTCAGGGCCAGCCAGGTGTGTATAATTTTTCAGTCATCACTGGACAATATGCAGCCTGAGACCATGGCCTGTGTCTCGTTGCATAGGCTAACGCAATGTATGCACACAGGGCAATGCATCTGAATGTGGAAGATCTTCTCAAGGCCAGGGAGGATGTGAAGATCTGATAGCATTCTCAGGGATGCGACAGTGGGCCTGCAAGGTGAATTAAGTTTCTCCATGATTGCGTGTGTCAGAGAAAAGCCCTCCAGCATTCAGCTCCTGATCAGCAGGTCCCCTGTGCAGGGAGGAAGATGACTCAGGAGATGTGCAGCCTGGGAACTCACACACCCGCTGTTGCAGACAAGCATGGACAGGCACAGTCGCCGCCACAGCCACAAAGCAGAAGAGGCTCTGCAGCCCTTCCTCCTTTTCTGTTCCTGGTGCTTCTTTTAAAACAAACAAAATAAAACAAAAGCATGATTTGTTTCATTTATTTGAAAGGTAGAGTGACAGAAAAAGAGGGAGAGACAGAGGCAGAGAGAGAGAGAGAGAGAGAGGTCTTCCATCTGCTGGTTCATTCCCCAGATGGCTATAGTGGCCAAGGCTGGGCCTAGAGCCTGGAACTCCATTCTGGTGTCCTCTGGATGGCAGGGACCCAAGGACTTGGGCCATCTTGCACCTGCTCCCCCAGGTACATCAGCCGGGAGCTGGATGGAAAGCAGAGCAGCCGGGACTCAGACCAGTGCTCCGGTGTGGGGTGCCTGTGTTGCA